CATTACACCTTGGGCATAATCTGGCCTTTTATCCGTTCACTTTGTATTTTTCCTGGAAATCAATCAAACTTTCCTCAGGTTGAGGATAAATTGCTAGTAACTCATCTTCCATCTCCACGTCAAAGCCTTAAGTAGCTTCGACCATCATAACTTCACCATCGAAACCCTCAATAGCTTCGACCATCATGCACTCGAAAGGATCTGCATATAGAGTCTTTTCAACTTTCAACTCAATGTTTTAAAAACCAGACTGAACCGGTTGGTTCAACCGGTTGGATTGGGAACCAGAGATGAATCCGATCGGGTCAACCTTTGAAAACCAATCGAACCAAAAAACCGTAGTTGATTTTGTAAAAACCATTCGGTTCAAAAAAATACATTGGATTAGCCTTTTCTTTTACATTTAAAAAAAATTAATATGTCAATATCAAAACTTAAAATATTATATTGTTTATTTTTGATATTCTATCTAATTTAATTTAAGTATTATTAATTATTTGAACTTTATATTATGTTCTATTATTTTAATTTTGATTTGAATTAGTATAATTTGTTCAAATTATTAATAAATAAAAGTTGAAATAAATTGTATAACTTTGTTGTGTTATTATATATACTATCAATATTTTTGTATTAAGTTTGTAATGAATTTTTAAAATATTTATCTTATTAAGTTGTAAACATATGATTATGTGACATATCTATGAAATTTAATTTCATATTATTAGTTTGTTTAATAAACGGTTCGACCGTAGGTTTAATCGGTTGAACCAATTGGACTTTAAACTAGAAGTTTTATCGGTTCGATCTCGGATCTGATTTTTAAAACATTGCCTTCAACGGATCAGTGTCCACCTGCATCTTTGGCTTTTCACCAAATTGAAGCATGCCTTCTTTCAGAGCTTTCTGCAGCAAATCTCTAAAAAGAACACATTGAGATGTTTTATGACCAAGAAAAATATGAAATTTGCAGAATCCCATTTTCTTCTTTTGTTCTAGTAGGGGATTCTTTAGGCCTCGAGGCACAATAATTTGACCATCAGCTACTAACAAATAGAATATTTCATCACACTTGGTTATATCGAAAGTGTACGTTTTTGTGATGGTCTTGCCACTTTTCTCGGTTTCGAAGGGATTCTTCTCGTTTGATGGCCTCAATGGTTTACAAGCATAAGGAGGCCCAGGCTAGAATTCAACCACATTAACCTCGATTTCTTCAACTGACTCATCGTCGTGAGAAGAATATTCTTCAAAGGCTACATAAGCAACCTTCCCTTTCTTTTGATACTTGCTTACTTTGGCTTTCTCACCTTTCAAGAGTTCGACTTATCGAACCCTTATAGCTAATTGCGCCATATCTCTTAAGTATTGAGTATCAAACTTTTTCGTAATCGAATAGACTAGGAAATTTGCAGCCATTTCGACTAATTCAAGCTCACAGACTTGAGTAAAGCATCTTACTTTCAAAAGTTTGAACCTGTTTTAAGTACTGGTCGATGGACTCAATAGCTTTTTGTTTGACGCCAGCAAGCTCTGTTAGCCTTATTTTTTATTGCCCCATGTAAAATTGTTCATGGAACAATTTGTCTAATTGGTTCCAGTATGGATCAAATTGGGAGATAGCATCGTAAACCAAGTAAACACATTTTTCGACAAGGAACTTGGAAAATATTTCAGTTGCAGGTCTTCATTGTTGGCTATATCGTCAGCTTCAGTTTGATATCTAGCCACATGCTTAATAGTGGACTCTTATGTATCCCTAACAAACTTGGTGAATTTAAGGACTTTCCAACCCCTAGGTAATTCTATTTGCAAAACAAAATCTGGTAACGGGGGAGAATACGTAGGCCTCTGAGAGTCAGTATGCATTCTGTTTCGAACCATGATTCGTTCGACAATGGCTTTTAGATTTTGTTCTCCATCCATTGCGTCTCTTCGAACCTGCCTGACCATTTGGTCGGCATTTTGGTTTCTATTTACTATCACCACTGGGGGTTGTTCAATAACCCTAGGTATAAGGTCGACGGACTGAGGAATCTCTTGCTCTTGGTCGATTATCTCGTCGACCATTTCTTCATACTGCACTTGCTCTTCCGGTGGAGGTGGTGCAGCATGTTAAACTAGCGCTTTAGGGGCACCAAAAAAGTCACTAATACGAGTCATTTGAGTTGCCAACGTTTGATAACTCGACATCAAACTCTCGATTAATGGTCTCAATATGACACTCATATGTTGAGTGAGCATGTTGACCATTTTGTAATTACTTTCATCCATCTGTTGCCTCATAACTTCAACAGAACTCGGGGTGAAAGTGGGTATTACTTGGTGTGAAAAACTCAATCAAATCGAACGATCAAACTGACTTCCCACAAGCCCTGATGCATGATAAGGGGAAAATGTTGATGTTGCATTTTCATTAAATATCGTATTGACCATGTTTGGTCTAGAAGTCATTGGCTGACTCGTGGTGATTGGTATGCTTGTATCGTTGAAGACACAACCACAAAGCTTGAACCAACACTTGATGCAGCACTGGTATTTCCTCTCGGGGTTACTCCAAATACGGATTTCTAGGATCTATCATTTTTCTACCACTTTTCAATCTCATGCGCAGATTGAGACAAACTTAACATAAACGAGTCCCACTGAACGTGCCAATTTGTTCGCAAGGGTTTCTCGTGAACAATCTCTAGCATCTTACTTAAAAGTTAATTGCAGGATCGACTACAAGAGTCCTAGGCTTAATATTAAGTTTGATAAAGTGTTTCGGGATTAGAAAGCAGAAAAAAGGTTTAAAAAAAATAAAAGATAAATTTGCAAAAACGATAAACAAGACAAGAAATTTGAAATAAATTACTTTTATATATATATATATATATATATATATATATATATATATATATATATATATATATATATATATATATATATATATATATATATATATATATATATATATTGTAATGATGCTACTATCAAACCAAAATTAACGAGAGTTAAGAACAAACTTCAAAGAGGTGGTAATTATTAGATTAGATCTTTGACTATCAACATTACGCCGCCAACAAATGTTCCTACTAAGATTTGATTTCAACAAAACATATCTATGGTCGAGATGTAAAAATGATTTTTCAAAAAATTGTTTTAAACATTCTGTTTTTGATCAATTTTGACATTTGAAACCAACATAACATCACATTAAAACCGCCATAATTCGCACAATGGTTAGTTCAAAAACATATTTTTACACAAATCCTTTAAGAATTCAGAGATGCCTTTCCAGTTTTTTTTGCAATAAAAATGATTTTTGATGCGTTTGAAATGCATAATAGGGGATATTTTGAGAAATTCGTGAAGAACCTAAGAGAAGTAACCAGGACGTAAAGAGAAATTACCATTGTTTATTAGGGAATATACTTTTCAACAAAAACTCCATTTTTTAATCGATTTGCATTTTTATATTAAATCACTTTAGATTTTAATACCCCTATTACTAAATGTATAAATAAAAAATTATGTATAGATGATATTAGACCAAAAGAAAATAAAAAATAATGTATAAATTTGTTAAGGAATCACCATGCAGTAGTTCACTAATATGTCCAAAATAAAAATTGTACAGACAATTAATTGATATTTGTACACTATTTAGGGTAAATTATATTTTAAACTTAACAAGAATTATATTTATTTTTTTTCAAATCTATTATCTATTATCAATCTATTAAAAGTAAAGTACCTGGAAATTTCAAGTCTAACCTTTTGATTAGATGTTATAACTTTTCTTATTTCAAGGGTATAATAGACTAATCAACACTATGCTGTTACCATATTCATTTGGCATTTAATTTTGCTGACATGTCAATCTATCATAATTTTACATTATTTTTTATTTATTTGATTTATTAATTTATTTTATTTATATTTGAATTTTATTTATATTTGAATTCCAATTCCAATGTTTCATTCACGGTTAATTTATTTATATTTGAATTCCAATGTTTTTTTTTGACAGAATTTGAATTCAACAAATAACTCATTCACCCAACTCTATTAAAACACAAATCAGAAAACCTAATTTCATCTTCTTCCTGCGCCGCTCCATCTCTTTTCATTCTTCTCTCTTTGTTGCTACCAATTTCGTTTCGTTGTAATCTCAACCATCTAATATTCTCATCCTAACCTGTTAATTTATTTGTTTCAGACGTTCAAGCATAAGAATGGTGGTCGCAACCAAGACCTCTGAATCTCAACAACATCAATAACCAACAACACCCGTTATAGATCTATAAAAGAATTTCCTTCAAATGCAATTTTTAACGTTAATTTGATTCATACATATGTAAGTGACGAAGGTGAGTGGTTGAAACATATGATTGAAAGTTGAAACTGAAATGTAGTTTGGAATATCTTTTCGTTTTCAGGGTTGTCTTACTATTTCTCCTTTTCCAAAAAAAAAAGCTTAACTTGACACCTAAAATGGGATATCTTTATCTTTAAGTTTGAGAGTTGCAGAAGGGGATTTTTGGGCTTGCATGTGACGAACAACACAACCATGATATTGTTTATTTTTTGTTGTTAGGTATGTTTTTTTTATTCAGATTTTATTTCTCAATTTTTTTAATTTTTTTAATTAAAATATGAGGTTGAGTTTTGGCTTTTTTTATTTGTTTAGTCTTGGTGAATACAAAGCTCACACATATATATTTACGATTGATTCTCCAAATAGATAAAAGCTTATTTCTTTTGCTTCCTCTTTCAATTTATTATTAATCTGTTTAAATTTCAATTTCTCCCATCACATGTTTGATAAAAGAAGTCAGTATATTCTCATCAATTTTGTTGTTTATTTTGCTTACTATTATATTTATTTGTATCTAATTGAGATTTTTGTATTTATTTTCTTGATTTAATCGATTCTTCTTTTGGAATATGTATGGATATGGAGGCTGATAATTGATTTCACACTTGAATCAGTAGGGGACCAATCAACAAATTGAATGACGGATTGTTTCACAGTTTTGTCATGTGAAAACAGGTTTAATATAGTCACAATTTGTCTTAACAAGGAATTATCAAACTTTACCTCATGGTCGATTCAAGCATTTGTTTTCGAGGTTGAAGATAGAGAGAGGATTAGTGGTTCGGCTTATGGGGGTCAACAGGACATCTGTTGCACCAATGATCTTCCTAAACTCACTGTGTGCAATGATGGACAGGGCTGTCACCGGCCTTCTCCCATGAATTCAAATTGGCCTGAAGTTTATGGTGTGGCTTTTTATCATGCCCAAGAAATAAACAGTTTGTTTTTAGTTTTAATGTTTTATAATATTATTGTTTGCAGAGTTGTCTTAGCATTTTAAGTGCCAATATTCACCATGGTCATGGCTGAGTGACCATTTGCTTCTCTAATTTCACAAACAAAAATATTGCTAAAGAAGAATTGGAGACTGCCACAACAGAACCAGAGACCACTATTTTAAATCTACTTAATCGAGTCGATTTTCACATGTGATTCATCATCAAAGCCAAGTGTTAACTTATATTTTCATTCAAGTTATTTGATAGTTAACCTTATAATAGTAAATATATGTTCAATATGGTGCAGATGATTTGATTTCCCGAGCATTTTATTTCCATCTACAGCCGTAATTGAAGATTAGGAAATTGAAATCATTGAATTTTATGCTTCCACAAGGAATATCGATGGCTTTCATTGGCAGGTACTGATTATATACTAATTGTATTTTCTGACCAATAGCAAATGCAAATGTCTCATTGCAATGTTTGGAGGAACTGTTTTTGGAAGAGGAACGAGATTTTGATGAACATGAGGATAGTCAAAGGGATGAGACTCTTATTCACCCGAAGTTCTAAAGTAATATGTTTTTAAGGGTTCAAGAGTGGCGGGTGTTGCTGAAGTTCACTACCAATTTCAGAAGAACCATAAGCAAGGCAATAATTATCTAAGATTTATAAGATGATAAAACCAACGTTGATATGCGATCATTTTCTGGTTCTATAGAAGAATGTTTTTAACAAGATTTGATATTATTGCTTTCAGATTTTGTATGTCATATCAACATTGGTTTTTGCATAATATATTTTTCTACTGCAAATTATGTTGGCGTTTTAATGGAATTTATTTATCTTTTGAATGTAGCATTGCCGAATTTCTCTTCTCTTACAAGTTGGTGTTGATGTGCCTTCAAAATTCTAATTTATTTTGAATCGAAATTATAATTCTCATTTGTCGTGAAATTTGAATAAAATTTTTATTTTGTATTGATATTTTTTTATTTTTAATTGCTATAATTTTAGAAACAAATATTACAATTTTTAATAAAATATTTACGATTTATTTTTTTAAAGTACGACTAATTAATATATTTTTATACAATATTAAAAACAAATATTACAATTTTTTAATCAAATATTGGAGTACCATTTAATTCGATACTTTACCAATATATCTTTTGAATGGAGACATTATTATCATTTATTTTTATTATACTTATATGGAAATTATTTTGAATGGTGACATAAATATATTTAATTTTTATATATGATTTGATTCCATAAAATATTATGATCAATAAAATTTGAATTCTCTTTTAATATTATAGGTTTGATACTGTTTCATATTGTAGGAATATTATATACATTAAAATATATAAAGATATGAAAAAAATTAAATCAAAACTTTACAAATATATCTTTTGAATGGAGGTATTAATATTATTTATTTTTATTATATATAGAAAATATTTTGAATGGTCACATTAATACATTTTATTTTTATGCATGATTTGATTTCAAAAATTTATGATCAATAAATTTTGAATGGAATTATAATTTAACCAATAAAATTTTCTACCGACTTACATTTATATTCTTGAAAAAAATACGTAGTTTAAAGGATGTATTGTTAACTATAAATATATTGTTAATAAAATTAACAAAAAAAGTATATTATAAATATATAAAAGATAAAGTAAATAAGAACTCTAATGTTTATCTTAAATATTTAATTTATCATTCTATAAATGTAAGAATAAATATTATTTTGTAATTATTTAGATCCTTATTTGACCTAAAATAAATTATTTCAATTTCTATAAAAAGGTTAATAAAACAAAACAAAATCAATTGAGATTTGATAATTTTTTTAAGTTTATGAAATAACTAAAATATATCATAATCTTTTCAAATTAACTTTATAATTGTAATCATGATAAAAAAATATTAAATGGTAATCATGAAAATTTAATGATAAATGATAATCATAAAAATTTATGATAAAATAAAAAATTATTGATACAATCATTTTAATAAATTAAATAATTTATAATTAATTTTATAAATGTAATAAATTAAACTATTTATAAAATTATTTATATCAATAATAGTAAATTACATATATTTTAATAATGGACACACGAATTCAACATGCTTATAAACCGGAAAAAAGTTACAATAATTTTATAAACAGGAATAAGTTAATATCATTTTATATAAATTAATGGTATAATATAATGTATTAAATATTTATATAACACTTTATTAAATAAACTTATTTCATGAAATTAATTTTATATAATATCATTAATATTTAATTATTGAAAATTCGCAATAAACTGAAAAATATTTATTACAAATCGAATTTAATAAAACATAAGAAATAAATACATAATTTTGAAATGTTATATATGATTCATTGTAATAATAAATGTTAAATTATTATTTAATATTATAATAAATTTTCCGATATTCTTAGATTTAATTTATTCTTTTTCCCGTATATAATAATAATATTATATTATTATTTAATATTATAATTTTTGATTGACAATAATAAATTCATTTTAATTAGTTAGATATTAAGATAATAAATTTAATATATATCACTAATACATGATATTTATTTATAAATGTAATTCACTAAGAGACACATATTTATCACTGTTGAATAAATAAATTTAAGATGATATGGTAAATATTTATTTTTACAATTATTTTTATAAACTTAAATAACTTACAAATATTTTTATAAACGAACAAAATTCAAATATTGATGTAATTGTTTTTAATATGAATAAGTTAAAATGTTTTTATAAATTGTCACACGGGTTAAAGACACTTATAAACGAGAAAAAGTCTACATATTAATATAATTAATTTTACAAACTAAAAATAAATTATAATAATTTTTATAAACATGAATAAATTATAAATATTTTTATAAACCGGAAAAATTCAATTATTGATACAATTATATTTATAAAAGAGTATAAGTTTCATATATTTTTATAAATAGACACACGCGTTCATTTTTATAAACGAGAATAATTTAAAATTATTTTAATAAATGAGAAATTCAAATTTGATAAATGATTATATATTGTAATTATATTAATATTAACCAACTGAGTACATGAAATAAATTCACGGGTAGAATAAATGTATCTATGACATACCAGATAATTGAAGTTAAAGAATTGAATGTACTGTTTTAAATGACAATTAAGTTATATTTTTAAATACAAATTAGATAATAAATTCATCTAAAATAAATTTCATTCATTAAATAAATATAGAAAATAATATATAATAGTTTTATCTATAAATTTTATTTATTTTTTATGTTCTTTTTAAAAATAATTGTAATTTAACGGGAAACTGTTATACATTATAGGTTGTAAAAAAATATGTAAATATGATATAATATAAAAGTTTTAAAATTGAAATTTGACGGGAGATGTCATACATTTTTAATTTGAAAAAATGGATTAATATATAAAATATGTTTAATAAATTTTTTAAATTAATTCATTTGGATTCAACTGAAGTTCGTTAACTCACGTAGATGTGAGCACATATAATATAAAAGTATAAATTTGACGGGAGTTGTCATATATTTTAAGTTTGGAAAAATGGATTGATATCTAAAATAGATTTAATAAATTTTTAGAACTAATTCATTTGGATTCAACTGAGTTTGTTAAATCATCTTAATTCACGGGTAGATGAGAACGCATCTATGAGATACTGGCTATAGATTGTTAATTTTAATATTCATCTTTTAAATCTTATATAATTGAAGTTAGTGAATAGTCTGTATGATTTATTATAAATACATATTAATGCTTAAAAAACAAGTGCATATTATTAGTCTATATTTATTAGTCATGCCTCTAAAGAACATAAATAACATCTTTTACATCCCTCGAATGTCTATGTCACATTTTGAGTCACCGTGATCATTTAAGTTGATTAAGAGAAAATTCCCAATTATTGTCTCTAACGCAATGACAATTAATAAATCCCAAGGCCAATCACTTGATACCGTTGGATTGTATTTGCCTACCGTTGGATTGTATTTTATAGATGAACAACGTTTGATATTTGAGAAAATCATGGATGTTGTTAACAAACAGAGTGGAGGGGTATTTTTCTTTCATGGTTACGGAGGGACTGGTAAAACTTTCATGTGGAGAACACTATCAAGTGCACTTCATTCTCAAAAAAAAATTGTTCTTACTATTGCTTCAAGTGGGATAGCTTCGTTATTATTGCCGGGTGGAAGAACAGCACACTCAAAGTTCAAAATACCTGTGCCAACGCTTGACAACTCAACTTGCAACATCGACAAAGACACCGAACATTCTCAATTATTTGAAGCAACGGATGTGATAATATGGGATGAGGCACCTATGTCTCACAAGAACTGCTTCGAAGCATTGGATAAAACCCTTAAAGATGTAATGAGCAAAAAGGGTGTTGAGAATACTATTTTTGGTGGAAAAGTTGTTGTATTTGGAGGAGATTTTAGACAGATTCTTCCTGTTGTTCCAAGAGCTGGGCGTTCTGATATTGTCCATGCATCAATTAGTTCATCTTATGTATGAGATTATTGCCAGGTTTTACCACTATCAAAAAATATGAGACTTCAAGAGGGAAGAGACAACATAAGTTCTAATCAACTAGCGGAATTTTCAAAATGGATTTTAAATGTGGGTGATGGTAAGATTTGTGAACCCAATGATGGTTTGGTTGATATTGAAATTCCTCAAGAGCTATTAATATCAAATTTTGATGATCCTATAAGAGCAATTGTTGAAAACACATATCCCAATTTGTTGGAAAAATATCAAGATGTTGAATTCTTACAAGGAAAGGCTATTCTTGTTTCAACCATTGAAGTTGTGGAAAAAATCAATCATTATGTATTAGACTTGATACCAGATACATGTGTTTTATATTTACTGTATTATTACATTCATAATATATATATATATATATATATATATATATATATATATATATATATATATATATATATATATATATATATATATATATATATATATATATATATATATATATATATATATATATATATATATATATATATATATATATATATATATATATATATATATATATATATATATATATATATATATATATATATATATATATATATATATATATATATATATATATATATATATGAACATAGTTTTACTAATTTATTTATGTTTTGCTTTTAAACTTTTTTTTAGGAGAAGAGAAAGAGTATTTGAGTTTTGATTCCATTGATAGAACAGATTCAAGTTATACTGAAGCATATGAAGTTCTAACTCCTGAATTTCTCAGTAAATTAAGAACGTCATGGCTTCCCAATCATAGGATCAAATTGAAGGTTGGTACACCTATTATGCTAATGAGAAATTTGGACCAAGCCGATGGATTGTGCAACGGAACAAGATTAATTGTTACAAGATTTGCAAATCATGTCATTGAGGCAAAAATCATGTCTGGAAAGAACATAGGTAACATTTTTTACATTCCACGAATGTCTATGTCACCTTCTGATTCACCTTGGCCATTCAAGTTGATTAGGAGACAATTTCTGATTATTGTCTCCTATGCAATGACAATTAATAAGTCACAAGGTCAATCTCTTGATAGTGTTGGATTGTATTTGTCTACTCCTGTGTTTAGTCATGGTCAATTATATGTTGCAATTTCAAGAGTTAAGAGCAAAAGTGGACTAAAAATCCTAATTCATGACAACGAGAATGTACCGTGTTCTACTACTACTAATGTTGTGTACAAGGAAGTCTTTCAAGCACTTTGATAGTTGGTAAACTTTATATCTTATACTTTACGATTCAAATTAAAAATCTATTTTGAATTAAAATATATAGTATGTACATTTTCCATGTATTTCAAGAAGTATATAATTTTTTCTATTTGTTCATGCAGACGTGATTTGTTGATAGGACCGACGCTTGCTATAAATATGGAATTAAATGCCAATATGGTTTACATGAGACATATACTCAACTGAAAACATGGTAACATACTTAATAATTTAATAATCTATAAATGTAATGTGAATCCAGACGAGACCCGTGCGATAGCACGTGTTTGTTACTAGTTCATTTCCTAAAAACTATAAACATGCAGTACTATAATTGTAAAAACCATAATGTATGCCTAGACTACAAACCAAAATTCATACAGTCCATAAGATAGTGATCTAATAACGAATCTAAATACTTTGAAAAACTTTAAAAACTTCAAGTTGTAAAGATGTTCATTGCATCGATTCCTAGTGGAAACAATACTTGGACATTGTTCATACCTCAGTTCACAAGCTCTTGATTAATAGAGTCTCTTTCTCCTAGGACCCAGAATGTTCATTGCATTAAACAAGAGAATGGTAGGGCAGATTAAAAACCATGAAACAGAAGAGGAAACCATGACAAAGAAGCTTGGTCCTAATGTATTGTATGGCTCTTTGGTCGCACACACAAGTAGGAACATGCTTGTCTCCATCTACTACAATTCCCATTCTCTTGATCTTTCCTAATGAGATGCAATTCCCATCTTGAAACATTATAACTCCAAGTTTCAGGTCATTAATCCCAAACACTTCCTTTTATTTACTAACAAATCTAGCGTTAAAAACTTAACACCCACAATGGATCACATGTCCCATATAATTAAATGCTAAAATTTCTAATTACCTTAGTAATTTTGAAAGAAAAAATCGTCAACTATGTTTCCTAATGAAATTAATAATCTACCGGCATCACTCATTTAACAATTATCAATGATGGCAAATTTCAACCTCTATCTTACACCATGATATGCTAAAATTATCTTTGTAAAATAAGAAGAGTGTGGATAAAGGATAACAATTAACTTTGGATGATTGACGAAGATGATCTGTACACAAAACAACAAGGAAAATTTGCCATCAACTATGATAGCATACCTAAAATCTTAACAACTGTATACCGACACAAAATATCATATTCCAGCCATCCAAAAAATTGGAAAAAAGACCTTTAAAATTGGACAAAGTTACCAGCCACGGGCTTACAAGAACTTCTATAGACATAATAATGCAAGTAATCTATTCACGAACACCCTGAGCTGCATATGATAGTTCCCAATTTCAGTTTTAAACACCAAATCATACCTGCAGAAACACCATGGACATTAATAATTATTTGAATCTTCAATTAATTTCCTAGCAATTCACTAACTGATGATTTATTTCTCTGCATTTGCACTTCTTACTACAAAGTAAAGCCTTAAATAAAAAACGGAAAACAAAACAATTTTATAAAAAAGTTCAAGATTCCTAAAATAAACGAATATCCAGAACACAATGACTATACTCGGAAAGAGCACCTCAAATCTGAGATGCAATTCAGATTATCAACACTTAATATAAGATAATTATAAGATGAGAATATACATAATAATCTTGAAAATGTATGGCATTAATCAACTAGTTAATTAGAATGACAATATCAGTACTATGGGGATACTGATATGAGCTTTCACACCCCAAAATGCAAAAAAAACAGTTCTGTTAATTGTGAATGGCAGGAAATAAGCAATTGTTAAAATTTTGCAATGCAAAACAGTTTTGCTAATTGCAGATGGCGGGAAATATGATATTGTTGAAATATTGAAATGCAATAATGCTAAGGCAGCTATTTGACAACATTTTTTATTAAATGAAAAATTGTGAAACCATATGGGTTAGTCCAAATCCCACTCCATATAGTGGCTATTAAACAATATTGGAGAAAACAAAATCAACTTTGACTAGAAGTGTAAATATTAGAATCACCAACAAAACTGATCCAAGAAAAACACCTTGAAAAATGACAAGGCTAGACTTACATATGACATTGTTTGTCAAACATCTGAACATATAATTTCTGTATCGACAATGTTAAAACAACTCCGTCACTCAAGACGATCAAAGTAAACAGAGGAATGACTACAAAAGCTTTCTTAGCAGCACTCAAAAACAGTAACAAAGCACGATCAAAGTAAACAGAGGAATGAATACAAAAGCTTTCTTGGCAGCACTCAAAAACAGTAACAAAGCACGATCAAAGTAAACAGAGGAATGAATACAAAAGCTTTCTTAGCAGCACTCAAAAACAGTAACAAAGCACGATCAAAGTAAACAGAGGAATGAATACAAAAGCTTTCTTAGCAGCACTCAAAAACAGTAACAAAGCAGAACTTTAGCCAAAAAAAAAATATAGAGTTGAAATATTGGTTGGACTGTTTCTGCACTACTACAAAATCTAAACCCTAAACACACTAATTAAATGTTCAAACCCTAATGGATTTTTGGCGGATCACCAATATCCACCATAACAATAACAATGATCCTAAATTCTAATCAAAACAAAATGTATCTGAAATGCTAATAAACTAGAAAATGACTTCCGATAAAGAGCATCACCGTCATCATATAAAACGAACATAACACAGATTAATACCTTTCTAGATACTTACAATTTTCAATCCAAATCTTCTTGCCTACTTCCCAATCCCCTTCCATCAGAGTCCTGAGCAGAGTTACCAGAACCAAAAGGATACCGCAAAGATATTCTAAAAGTCCTGTGAACAGGTCTATTCCCTCCTCCTGCACCACCACCAGCACTGGTCCCATCAACAACAGACCTCAACCCATCACCATCACTGCTCCTATCCCGGTTCTCATAATCAGCATCATCAGTAGGCAATTCATATCGACAAACAGGGCACGAGTTATGCAACTGAAGCCACGGAAGCAAGCAATCATCATGATAACAATGCTTACAAGGCATTTGCTTCACCTGCAAACCCTTGTCAAACTCATCCTGACAAACAGCACACTGGTTCATCTCCGAGTTCAACAACTCATCATCAACAACAACACTGGGAAGATTCTGAACAGCATCCGTTGACGCCGGAGGAGTTCCATACCGGTTAGGATCATTCTCAGCAAGCTGCTGAATCAATTGCTCAAGACCAGGACCGAGGAAGTAATCCCCCATGTTAGCCGGAACGCGAAACCCCGATTCGGAACCCGAACCATGATTGATCTCGAACTGGATATTAGCACCATCAGCATGAAGGCCGTTAAGATGATTCTGAAGGAAAGTGAAAGGGTCGAAATTATCGTTTTCCGTTTCAGCGGCTTCGGTGGTTTCGAGGCGAGTACGTGAAATCGAAGCAGAAGAAAGCAACAAAGGGAGAAGAGAGAAAGGATGGAAGGGAAAATCGGATTCGTTATCGGAATCGTCTTGGTTGAAGCGGAAAATGACGTTAGGGTTAGGGTTTGGATCGGGAGTGCATTCTTCAATGAAACCTTGGAAGCAGATTGGACAGAAAGGCTCGGAATCCTCCGAACAGGTAACTCTTTGAGTGCAATTGTGGCAGAAGTATAGCTTTCCGCCACCGCCGTCGCCGCCGCCAGAAGACATGACTCGTCGGAGTAGAAGCGACTCAAACTACAAAAAATGACGGTATCTTCAGGTTTGATATGTTTCAAATCAATCAATTCTAGTAACTTGTTTATTTCGCTTCTTAAATATATAATGGGCCTCATATTTAACTTAACTTTGGGCCTGGCCCAGCCCATCTAAACATGATATATTTATTTCAAAAAAAAGAAAAGAAAAACAGATAGACAGATATTTATAACAGATTATTAACACAATCTTCTTCTTCTTCTGGTGCGATTTTGGGAAAACGCAGAAGCTGAACTCAACGCAAACCTCTTCGCTATGTGTAGTCTCATTTTCAAGGCACACTGTTCTTTGCCACCTCTTCAATCAAGGTGAGTTCAATTGAATTTTTTGCAAATTATTTTTTCGATTTTTTCGTTGTTGTGTGATTTTTCACTGTCTGTGTGTGTTTGCAGTAAGTCAGAATATGGAATTGTGAGAGTGAAAATGGGTGGGAGATTGAAGGTGGTGTGTAAGGGTATGTTGGTACCGAGGAAATTCATGCAGAGTAAGAAGAAAACGGTGGTTTTCAAGGATGATGATCATGAAGCTGAGAAGAAAAAATGGTGGAAACTCATGAAATTGATAGAGGAGTCTGGCTCTGCTGTTTCTGTGTTATCTTCTGAGAAGATGAAGAACCAAACTATTCCTAAACACCTTGTTGTTGGTACTATGATTAGGTTTAAACAACTCAAGAAATGGAATGTTGTTGCTGAGGTATATTTTCCATTGCATTGCTTTTTTGTATTTTTTTTAAATGAATTTGGCTTTAAATGTTTTGTGCTTGATTTTTGGAGGATCATTTGGTTTTAAATTTTAGCTTTTCTAATGATTTTGTCAAATGTGACTAGCGATAGCCCCTAAGCTTTTATACTTAGTTCCATCCCGGGTGTCAATGTCGATGTGTCTTGTCGGGAAAAGTGTCTGTGCTTCATAGATTCTAATTGCATATTGGTTGCTGTGTGGTTTTTGTTCTGTTTAGATTCTTGTATGGCTTAGAGCACAAAACTGGTGGGATTTTAGTAAGATGGATTTCATCTTGCTTATTACAGCATATGGAAAGCTTGGAGACTTCAATGGTGCTGAGAGGGTGTTGGGCTTGATGAATAAGAACGGTTATGCACCAAATGTAGTGTCTCAAACTGCACTTATGGAAGCATATGGAAAAGGAGGCAGATACAACAATGCTGAAGCGATTTTCCGTAGGATGCAAACATTTGGCCCTGAGCCTTCTGCATTCACATATCAGATTATACTTAAAACATTTGTTGAGGTAACATACATATCATATTTACCCTGTGCAAATTTATTTACCTTTAAGATTACACTAAGAATGCTTTACCCTTGGTGCTAGTGGCTATTGTTGTTGTTGTTGTTGTTGTACTTCAGCTTACCTATAAGAAATATTCAGTTGAAGTGTAGAATTATTAATGGTTGCATTCTTAAATTTAATTTCTTCACGTTTGGTTAAATTCGGAGCAAGTACCTTAAACATATGTCCTTGTGTGAATTTGGACATAGAGATATTATGTGCTACAAGTTACAACCACCATCCAAACTAATCATGACTGTCCCATGAATGATTACTCAACTCCAACACGTCTCCTCGTGTTTCTTTGATAACTACATTGAATTCAGTAATAGATTTCTGAGAATATTGCATAGACTGCTTTTGAGTGTTGTCGGGCTTTCAATTTAGGATTTACATAATTGATTCAACTGCAGGGGAACAAGTTTAGTGAAGCTGAAGAAGTATTTGACAAGCTATTGAATGATGAAAATTCACCTTTGAAACCAGATGAGCAGATGTTTAACATGATGATTTATATGTATAAGAAGGCTGGAAGTCATGAAAAGGCTCGCAAGACATTCACACTAATGGCTGAACGAGGAATTAAACAATCTACCATAACATATAATAGCTTGATGTCATTTGAAACAAATTACAAGGAAGTTTCAAACATATATGATCAGGTAAAACAAAAATATCTATCTACTTTTACTGAGTCCGCAATAGATTCAGGATTCTTTCATTTCATTTGTGCTGTATCCTATGAATGCTTACTATAGTCACCATTTTCCTGAAAATATGCATACAATTAAGTGATTTTATTTCCTTTATCTTATGGTTTAGAAACCTTTCTCCATGTTCACTCGGTCAGAATTTTATTAAAATTTCAAATCTGAGTTATGAAACTTGGTACTCATCTACAAGAGGCTCTGATATTCTCTTGAATTTCCCCAACAGATTATTTATTTAATCTTGTGGTATTTTCAAGACTTTCCATTGGTTTTTGTCTCGTAGATATGCTCCCCTTTTAATTTGTTGTCTATAATTAATTCATCAGATTTTGAAGTAGATGCCTAATTTTAGATGCAAAGAGCTGATCTCAGACCCAGCGTGGTTAGCTATGCCTTACTCATCAATGCTTATGGGGATGCCAGGAGAGAGGATGAAGCATTAGCAGTATTTGAGGAAATGCTTGATGCTGGTGTCAGGTATGCCAGAGAATGAGAGAATAAAACTGTTAATGCCAAGAGTTAATAGAAAGCTGGATAGATTAGCTTATTACTCCAAGAGTAATATTTTAAAACTATAATCAGCACTGTAAAGTTGAATTTACCTTAATTTGAAATTTTTGTATCCTTGAAACATAGAACTTTCATTTACGTAATGCAGACCTAGTAATTTCAATTACATAATGCAACTCTTGGCAGTCATGTATTAAAAATGTTACTATATTTGGAAGCACCAATGTCAAGCAAACTATCGGTCAACTGTAACATCAGTGTCCCTGGTGCTTTTGTGAGTAAATCATAGAGATCTTCACATTACTAGCTGTTCCTAAAGGACAATATTGATAAATTCCTCGAAGCTGGCCGGGAGAAGTCGCAGTGAGATAAGAGTTTTTTGTCTAATGATTCCCCCCTTTAGTCCTTTAGGGGAATTGCTTATTTATAGTGCATAATACCAATGGACTGAGGGAATCGCATTCATGGCCATCATTGTAATGGTTTCCTTGTCGCCCTGAAGCCATAAAGGGCATTGAATGTCATTGATGCTAATGTTTCTAATGTTAACGGTTGACTTATTTGGGCGACTAGGTTGGGCCTGGGCTTTGTATATTTCGATCCGTTTTGAGGCGTCGGACCCGTCCTGGGGTGTTGAAGCAGTTCAGCGGGCGCCTTGGTGAGTAATCTGGGGTGTATATCCCCTATGTCTATAGTCCGGGGTGTATACCCCGGATGTACATAACCCCCTAAGCATAAGGTGCTAAGGGCCAAAGCGCTTAAGTGTTTTGTCGACTTGAAAGGTATCTATACTTGTCGTCTTGGTGAGCAATCTGGGGGGTATATCCCGGATGTACACTAGCTATCTGCGCTAAGCCGATTGCTGTTTTGTTATGTGCACACACAATTAGTTTTCTCATTTGATAAGTTTTTATTATATGGAACTTAGTGAAATTTCTGTCTATTTATTTTGGAAACTAATACTTTATGATTCTGTTGCTAAATAAATTTTATCTACCTTTTAAAAAATCACTGTATTTTCTTCCTTTTCACAGACCAACTCAAAAAGCTTACAATATTTTACTCAATGCATTTTCCATATCGGGAATGATAGAGCAAGCTCGGACTGTGTTTAAGAGCATGAGAAGGGATAAGTAAGTGGCATTCCTTTCTATTGTTAGGTTTTATTATTATGTTAAACGAATATGCCATTATTAACATGAATTTAGAGAATGTATTGTTATAGCATTTTACCATGTTGTTTTACTTTTTTGGTGCAGGTACATGCCAGATCTTTGCTCATATAATACCATGTTATTAGCATATGTCAATGCTTCTGACATGGAGGGTGCAGAGAAGTTCTTCAAAAGATTGATACTAGACGGCTTCGAGCCTGATGTTGTCACTTATGGAACCATAATTAAAGGGTATGCTAAAGAAAATGATATTGAGAAGGTAATGGAAAAGTATGATGAAATGCTTGCGCGTGGTATCAAGGCCAATCAAACAATTTCGACGACGATAATGAATGCACATGGAAAAAATAGAGAATTTGACAGTGCTGTTCATTGATTTAAAGAAATGGAGTTGAGTGGACTTGTTCCTGATCAGAAAGCTAAAGATATCCTTCTATCTTTAGCAAAAACGAGGCTAATGAGCTGCTACTACATTCCATTGAAGTTAACAATTTACCTAAAGCTAATGACCTTGACGAAGAGGACGATGAAGAAGATAATTATGAATATTTTGACGACCAGGTTGCAATAGCTAATGACGCACAACCAGTGGATTCATGGATTCCAGTTAAACCATGTCAAGTACTTTTGAGATCTAGTCACTACAAATCTTGTACACTGTTAAATTTAGGAAAATAAGTGTTATATTGATGCTCAATGTTGACAATATTTTTTTGAAATGACATTCTAATTGAACTTAGCTGCAATTTTAACATGGTGTTCACATCATCTCAACTTAGACATAAATCTCTTTGGGTTGTAGTCAACATGTTATTTAGTCTCCAATGAACATACTCCATCCTAAAAACCATAAATAGAAATATATGTTATATTACGTTTTGTAATGTAATAACATCAAACTGACATTTGATAACTTGTTTGTTGTTGTGTTCCATAAATGAGTTACTTTGTTAGTTCAAGCAGCAACAAATTTTCTTTATAAGGTGTCAATCATGTTTCACTCACATACTTAACAAATAAAGGAATATCAGTACAAACAGTCTCAAAGTGTTTCAAGTGTTCGACAAACTCAGTTTCTCTATGTGAATACATGATGTTGTTCTAAAGATCCATGACATGTTCTTGTCTTTCTGATGTAACATACATTTTACATTTCATACTAACGTTTTTTGAAATATGAAAAGAACACAACAAATGAGTTGAATTTGAGAACACAACTTCCATGATATTCATCAACGTAAGTTCCCGGTCCGTGACCACAAGTTTCGA